GAAATGTTTTTTAAAAAACTATGGCGTGAAATTCTCAGATCAGTAATTATTCAATAAATATTTTGAACAGATACTCTGCGAAATTCCCAGATCAACTGCTAATGCACTTGATCATTCCTTGGACATCTATGATATCAACATTCTACGGCAAATGTGTAAAAGTGTAACGAGAACATTTATCAGAAATTATGGTAACTGCCCCAGTAAAAGTGTTAATTAATTTCTTTCTAGTTCCGTACTCCGCCAATTTGTCCGTTTGATCATGTCTTAATTCAACCAATATCTAATCAAAGAGGAAGGTGTTGTAGAAAGATAGAAATTTGGGTACGCAGTTAATTACTGCTGATTGAAAGATGGCTGGAGAGCTGTGATTAGAAACTCTTCTTGAAGTTAATTACATATCATTTACAGTTGAACTAATGTCCTAGTCTTTTTGTTTTATTATTATCAGAATGTTTTGTTTACAGCATTAGTGAATGCTGAGTTAACATTTACAACAATTATTAACATTTAACTTCAATTTAAAGGTGAAAAACAAAAATAACGTTTCTCATAGAAAATATTCAAAATTTAGCAAAATGTATTGAGAGAAGATGAATGAATACAAATTTGAACTTTTTGGGAGAAAGAAGAGCCTTGAGAAAGGCTAAAAAATACAAGCAAATACATTGTACTTACTGAAATTGTATCTTTGACTTTAAAAATACAAAAATAACCCATTGTTAATTTTTTTTTTAAAGAAACGTAGCGTGGCCCAAACTTTTTACCTGTAGTGTACACACACGCACATATATATATATATATATATATATATATATATATATATATATATATATATATATATATATATATATATCGTGACCTTCAGGCAGATTAAAGGAATCAATTTTGAAGGAATAAAATTTCCTTATATTCTTTTAATGTTTCATTGTTCCTTTTCTTGACCTCATTTTTTCGAATGTCGGCAAAAGTGAATTTCAGACTAATGAGGTAATAAACTCATTAAGTTTGATCTTAGCGGTGGCGATGAAAAATGTGTTGATGATAGTTGCCCCCCTATCCCACATCACCCCCGAAACTGTCAAATCCATTTCCATTTTTGTGCAAGTGTATGCGTGCGTTTCCCGCTAGCTTGCACATGAATCAGCATACACATATATATATGCATATGCATATATATATGCCATGGGTCCTTACCTATAACTACAGAATGAACTCTTCTTAACACAATGTATACTACGCCTCTCAAGAGAGAGGGATGAATCGAGTCGAACCGATAGTAGTTCACTCCAAACCAGACTGACAGTCATACTGACACCTTCCACATCTTGCATTATTTCGTGTAATATACCTTCGTTATTTCTACTCTTGTGTTCGTGTTGTTCTTCCTTGGTTCTAACCTGGACCATAACAACACACACACACACACACGCACACACACACACACACATATATATATATATATATATATATATATATATATATATATATATATATATATATATATATATATATATATATAGATAGATAGATAGATAGATAGATACACCTAGTGAGCCAGACAAACCTACCTAGGTTTCACCTAAACGGATCGTCAGGGAAAGTTTGGCAAAACTTTCCCTGACGATCCGTTTAGGGTGAAACCTAGGTAGGTTTGTCTGGCTCACTAGGTGTATCTAGGACTGCTCTACGGTTGTATTGAGCTCTTTTGTTGGTTAGTTGTTAGTCGTATCGGGTTTTTTTCTTTGGGCTTCAGACCTGCATCTGTGCGATTTTTTTGTCGGCGGAAGTTCATGTTTGTAGCTCTTTCTTTTAAAACCTTTTTTCCCTCGAGATTGATTTGATTAGCAAATCAAAAATTCGAGGGTTTTTCGAAACGAGTCTAGTTATATATTTATATATATATATATATATATATATATATATATATATATATATATATATATATACCCACACAAAATACACGCACACACACACATACACATTCTTCCTGTGTTGCATAGTGCTCACGTGTGCGCCTGTGAGTAGTCGGTTTGTTTTTGACAGCATATATATGCGCGCGCGTGTGTGTGTGTGTTCTCCATGGATTCCTTAGCTCCATGCCAGAAAAAGTTGATCTGGGAACACTTATGGTTACTTTTTTTACATCAGTAGCTTATATAGCAACATACCCCATAAATTAGGTAAACCATCAATCTCATTCTGGATTGAAAAACATCCAGAATCGCAACATCCCAGATTTACTAAGGAATCCATTATCGATAATATAGACTTAATTCTAAACAATAACTCTTTTGAAGCTGACAACAAAAACTATATCCAAACCCTAGGTACCGCAATGGGAACAAAAATGGTACCAACATATGCCGCCCTAACATTAGCTTACATAGAGGAAAACGTATATGAAGAGACAGAACAACTACATGGGGAAAATATAAAAAGAACAATTCACTAAATCGTGAAAACGATACTTAGATGATTGCTTAATTTTCTGGAAATCCTTATTGACCAATTCCACATTCTACTTCAGAACTTACACCCAAAAATCAAATTCACCCAAGAATATAATTTTAATGAATTGCCACTTTTAGATATACTCGTTAGAAATAGAGACAACCACATAATCATAGATATCTACCACAAGCCTACAGGCACACAATAATATCTTCATTTCATGAGCGACCACCGAAAAAGCTGTCTGAAATGCATCCCCTATTCCCTAGCATGTTGGGTTTGCACTATAGTAACTGACAAACACCTCAGAAAAACCCGCCTAGAAGAATTATATAGAACTCTGAAAAAACGAGGCTACCCCAGAACACTAATTAAACAAAGGTTTTGAACTAGCAGAAAAGATACCTCTGGACCAACTACGAAATCCAAAAAGAAAAAAAAAAGCGTAACGTCGAACAAACCCTAGAATATGTCTCAACATACAATAAGAACAATCCAGAACTATTTACGGTAATTACAAAAAATCTAGACCTACTTAACAAAAATGACAAAATAAAAAATATACTAAAAACAACCAAAATAATTAAAAGCAAACGCCAATCTAAAAAACCTGAAACATATATTAACCTCATCTAAATTTAACAAACACAATATACAGGTGGTCGCAAAATGCATTAAAAAAGATATGGGGTTTGTGATGTCATTACAAAAGGAAACTCCTAAACCTTTGAAAACTCCACAACTACTTTCACAATAAATAAAAATCCAAACTGAAAATCCAAAAATGTTTTCTATACACTCAAATGAACAAAATGCAAGAAGTCATTTATAGGCATCAGCCAAACACTTAACAACAGAGTTGCCATTCACAAACACCAACATTAAATTACCCGACAAAAGAAAACTCACAACACATCTACAAATGCAATCAAGGCAAATTTAAAATGATGCCAATATACCAAACAGACAACTACTCTTTCTTACAAATTCAAGAAAAATTATCATAGACAAATTTGAACCAGCACTAAACGGAACATAACCCCGTACACATGAACACACGGCAAGACATACTGGTCGGACCGCACTTATACATACACGTACGCACGCACAAACAGGTATCAATGGAAAAAAAATATATGTATATACACACTGGCAAAAACGGATAGACTATAAAGACTCCCATTCGTCTTTCAATAACTCCCATAGGTGATCCTGGTTTTCCGGGTTTCTTTTCTGAGCCCTTTCTCCAATTATCTTCCAAACATTTTCTTTTGGATTCAGGTCGGGGCTCTTGGTTGGCCACTTTATTAGGACGATTCCTTCTTCTTCAAATAAAGCCATAACCTTCTGAGCCTTGTGGCAAGGTGTATTGTCCTGCATGAAAATAGGAGATTCATAAAGATTATGGTGTAATCTTGGTACCACATGCTGCTGAAGAAGCCTTTTGTAAATCTCAGCATTGATATTGCCAAGTACGCGGATGATAGTGCCAACTCCTGCAGATGAAATCATTCCCCACGCCATCACACTGCCGCCACCAAACTTAACGGTTTTCTTGACACATTGAGAAGACAGTCTTTCACCTGTTCTACGGCGTACGTAAGTTTTGCCCTCAGAACCAAATATAGTAAACTTGGACTCGACACTGAAATGAACTGAATCCTATTGTGCGTTAGTCCAAACAACATGTTCTCTCGCATACTCCAGGCGGGCCCTTTGGTTTCGCTTTGAAATGAGAGGCTTCGAAGCTGGAATACGGGCATGCAATTCTGCATTTTTTAACCTGCGAGCAACCGTTTTCCTTGAGATCTTATTATCTGTCTCTTCATTAAATTTACGGGCAATTGATGTAGCAGTTTCAAAACGTTTTTTTGTAGATATTCTAACAATTTTTCGATCTTCTCTTTGCGATGTTTTTGGAGGTCTGCCGATTTTTGGTTTTGTATCTAAAGTTTTATCGGTTTTATACCTGCTAATTACATGGTGAACGACACTTTTAGACCTATGAACAATATCAGAAATTTCTGAAATTGACTTTTTCTTCTTGATAGCGATAATGAGTTTTTTTCTTCAAAAGAGAGCGTTTTGCGTGTAGAATTTGCCATATTGCTTAAAAATAAAGTCCTAATGATAAATGAACTTTTACTTATTGTTGAAAAGCTCCATCGAGTTTTTCAAAAATGTAAATTAAAAGTTTATGCAAATTATTAACATCGATCCTTAACTTTTCCTTTGTTCTATTTAATCTTTATTTAAAAAAAAAAACTATTATGTAAATTTTTGTAACTTTGTATATTTATGCATTACACCTAATCTTGATTCGGTAAAAATTTCATTGCTAATCATGCATTACTTTTAAGTAATACACACATTTATGTCTTTCTTGTTTGCGTTCCTTTATATTATGCCCGCTATTGTGTGTGTATATATATATATATATATATATATATATATATATATATATATATAACTCTGACTCTCGCTATTACTCGTTGGATAGACGTTCTTGTTTCTTTATTCAACTCCTTCTCTAAATATTGCTCGAGATCTCAGTTGCTTTCTCTATATTTCTCTCATTGTCTCTCTATTTCTCTCTCTCTATCTCTCTCTATCTATCTATCAATCTATCTTTTCTTTTAATTTTTAACCCTTTTGTAGAATTGCAAATTGGTTTGGTAAAGTAGTAATTCTTTGAGTAATGAACATATTGAAAACTAATAACATTATTGCTTTTGTATAAAAATAATTGTTACAAAATAAAATCCTCGATATTTTCTTGATGAAGGCTCTCAGAGGACGAAACGCGTCGGTTAAGATAAGTTCCCCTTATTCATAGTGTCTTTTTACAGATATACTCTATCTTTTCTTTACACACACACACACACACACACACACACACACACAGATAGATAGATAGATAGATAGATAGATAGATAGATAGATAGATAATAAACGTATTTGTATAGATAGATAGATAGATAGATAGATAGATAGATAGATGCAGTCATGTAATGTATAATGACTCGGAATGAGAAATCAGTGAGATGTGAATGACAATGTGAGATATTTTAATAATGAAGGTAATGGAAACAATACATTTTATATACGTTACAAATTAAACTAATTATAACTGACGATTAAAAGGGCGAATGTTTTTTGCGTATTTTGACGTCATTCATTATTGCTTTTTTTTCGGAGTGGGGGGTGTCCGAATCCGTAATTTTGTTTTGCCCATACTAAACCTCGAAAATAACGCTGTATAAAATTCACTCTTTCTGTTCCATAGTGTTGAATCTGTTTAAAATTCTTCAACTTTTTAACAAAAAAAATCTCAAGCTTATGCTAAAATATTGCCACAAAACATTGTTGATTTATTTAAGATGGATATATGGTGATATGCATTGTATTTATTTACAATTATTCTAGTTGAATTGTTCACCTATAATTTATATGATCCGTTATTGTACATAATTATGTTACAATACAATTTGTATGAAAATTGAGATGTACTAGAGTGGGGAGCCCTTTATCATAGATTTGGTGACGGGGTCCTAAGATCCTTCTAGGTATCACCATACAGTATTAATTTTTGTGTCAATACTGTTTATATAAGCATGTCATTAGCATGCTGCCTTAATTAACGGAAAAAATAATGGGTCTGTGTTCACTTGGCCAAAACCACTTTCCTATACCGGCTTTGCATCTCCGAACAGTAGCAACGAAGTACAAAGTCAGGGTCACCCTTAACAAGTACGCATCGCCCACATAAAAAGACGTTATCTTTTATTTTGCATTTGTGGAGGAACAAAATAAATATTTTCTTCCATTTTTATCGTCTCCCTTTTCTTCTACTCACTTTTCTTAAATCACTTCCCCACTATTTTTTTATTTCTTTGCGTAACACTCTTTTTAGCATTGGCATTCTCCCTTCCCTCCTTCAGCACTGCCGTTTCTACCGTTGTTGTTTTTTTCAACGCATGGCAAGCCACTAACTTGTTTCTTTTAAATCTGCAAACGTCCCACCCACCAACTACGACCCCTCATCCACCCCGTGGAAATCATGCCAACTTTTTCTGGCTCATTCTTCTTCATATTTTTCTACCTTCCAACAATCCCTGCCAAGGTGTCCGTTATTAATAACACTTGTGTGCCAGACGCTTCCTACTGTCCCCGACTGCCACTCAAGCTTTCTACCCCCAACTCATCCAAAACAGGTCATAACCCACACCTCACCAGATGCTGCACTTTACAATACCACCAGTCTCATCCTAAAAACAATATGGCGTCAATCGAACAATTTCTATTGACATTCAATTAACTACCTGTACGTCAAGACATTTTGCTCTGGGGGCGAAAGAGATTAAAAAACTGTTCTTTCATTACTGTATCCTTTTCAACAAGATTCGTATTCATAAATTGAAAAGATATTGAGGAGAATCTGGGTAAAAGCGACAATCGTATTCCTCAGTTTAACCCGGTTCCTTTTAAGTTGTTAGAATAACCAAGAACCTATACTAAAAGCCAACCGCCTGAATAAGAACGGAAAATGAGTTCAGCAGATATCGTCATCATGTTCGCCCTCCACATGCGAAGATGACCATGACTTCGAATCACTGAGGAGCAGGGTGGATGCGTAGATGACTAATACGTCGCACTGTTTGTTATGAAAACACTACAACGAGTGCGCAGGATCACACTGTCAGTGATGTTATGAGTTGGGGTCATGACAAGTTTCAGGTGTTCGAACATCGTATTTGTTCGCCCAGGAGACCCTAAGGAAACATATAAATATATATATATATATATATATATATATATATATATATATATATATATATAAGCAAATATATGGATATAGATCCGACGGTATGAAGAAAATATACGGAAAAAATAATCAAAAATCCTTACATGCAATTATGCTGTTTTAATGTTAATATAATGTCAATTTCCTTGTTCTTATGTCCATCGTCTTTGTCATGTTGAATTTATAATGTTAATTATATTTTATGAATATGTTCTGAAAATGGTTTATTAGACCGAAACGTCCGACGTTGACATTATATTAACATTATAACAGCATAATTGCATATAAGGATATTTGTTCATATATATATATATATATATATATATATATATATAATGAAATGGACAAGTCCGACACTTATTGTAAGACATTTTATGCTTATACATTCTATTTATAGATACAAATATTTGGTGTCAAGACAATTTCTCGACATTCAGGTCGGTAAATGTTGTTTAATATTGTTTATTATAAACAGAGCATTTAAATATTTGTATCTATAAAAAGAATGTATAAACATAAAAATATCTGAAAGTAATTGTCGGACTTTGTCCATTTCATAATGTGTGACGTCATTTGTTTACATTTGATACGGTACGAGCAGATATGCATGTACGTGAGCGATTCATAGAAGATTGAAGTTTAAATACAGTAAATTCCACCTTGCTAACCGAACGTTCCTCTGTGGCCAAATCGGTAAAGGCACGTCAAGCGAAATGACGGTTCCGTATAGGATACATGTCACAGAAAAACTCCAACGAGTGCACCGGATCGCCTCGTCAGTGATGTTATGACTTGGTGTCATGACAAGTTTCGGGTCTTCCAACATCATATTTGTTCACCCAAGAGACCCTACCGAAATACGCACACACACACACACACACACACACACACACACACACACACACACATATATATATATATATATATATATATATGACAGTTGGATAGCGAAAAGAAAATCTTTGCTAAGACCTATAGGCTTCATTTGCTCATCTTTAACTATTGACCCAAGAAAGCAGTTGTATACAGGTGACAGTTTAAGAAGCAGTAAAATTCAGACCAAAATGACTCCATTATGACATCAGAAATTTTAACCTTAAGATGAATCAGACAAGTAAACTATCTAAAAAGACTTTATCAGTAAGGAAAACTGAGCAACTACCCAATCTTTAACAACAACCCATGAAGATATTAAGTGACAAATGAAACTGTTAAATTGGGAGTTGTCAGCCAGTTCTTTTAATACTCGCAAAGCAATAGGAACACTGAAAAGTAACAAAGTGTATTATTTGATTGAAACTAGATGGTATTGAATGATCAGAGCATCTTGGAATTTGATCAAAAGTATGTTTGGATCTGATAAGGTTTTATGATGGTTTCTTATAAGAAAATATTCGGTATTCATTGACCAAGAAGCCAGTGCCACATCCAGTTGAAATTTATAAAATCTTTCTACTGAAACAAGCAGTAAAATTCAGACCAAAATGACTCCATTATGACATCAGAAATTTTAACCTTAAGATGAATCTGAGCAGCAGACTTAGCAATTGATTCAATATAATCTTTCCACTTCATGTCAACAGAGAATATTAAAAGAAACATTCGGCATTCATTGACCAAGAAGCCAATGCCACATTCAGTTGAAAATTATAAAATCTTTCTACTGAAACAATTTTTCAGAAAAATAGGTTTCTTAAATGCATTAAGTTTTGATTGAGCACAACCAACAAAAGAGACATGCACAAACAAAGGCAACTAACAGGAGAGAAGACCTGCTTGGCGACAGGTTGCCTAAAATCAAAGGATGGAACGCTCTTATTAGAAAAGGAAAAAAATTCTCCAACGCTGAAGTGAGTATATTGAAGATCTCTTCCACAACGAAAGGGAACAACTAACAATACAAAGAATTACCGACAGACCTGGAATTCTGAAAACCAAAGTAAAAGCTGCACTGGTCAAACTGAACAGAAACAAGGCAGATGGGCCAGACGGAATTGTAACGGAAATGCTGACAGCCTTAGATGACTTTGGCATAGACAAGATCACCGAATTAACAAATGAAACCTACAAGACAGATAATTAGATACATATTCGAATATGAATAGATTTATACATATTTTCTATGCGAGTAAACATATTTATGTATATGTATAATAAACTTCTTTATATAAATGGTTGTAATCATTACTTTACGTATATATATATATATATATATATATATATATATATATATATATATATATATGAATGAAGAAACACAGTTTTAAGCGATGCTAAGGACATGCAAGCAAGCTAAAGAAAAATGGCTAAACGAAAAATGTGCAGAAATAGAAAGATTGAATACTATCGACAAAAGAGATATGCACAAACAAATAAGGCAACTAACAGGAATGAAGAAATGCCCGTCAACAGGCTGCCTAAAATCAAAGGATGCATGTATATGACAATTCTGTAAAAAGTTTGACTTTGTTAATTTTATCAATGATATTAGTATATTTTTTTACTTTCAAATCAGAATTATTAACAAATCTTTGAGTAATAAGAACAAAAATGTAACGTTAATGATAACATTAGTCATTTTCTTAAAAGAAAATATTCGGTATCCATTGACCAAGAAGCCAGTGCCACATTCAGTGAAAATTTATAAAATCTTTCTACTGAAACAATTTTTCAGAAAAATAGGTTTCTCAAGTCCACTAAGTGTTATTGTTCTTTCCAGCATTGATGGGGGCTCCCTTCCTAACCTTTTCTTTGAAGTAGTGTGAAATATCATCATCTTGAGCGTGTCATTATTCTCTCTTCAGGTTACATGTACAATCCATTTTAGTTGTTGCTG